AAAAACTACTGGGATGTCCTATAATTTCCTTTGGCTCAGTTGGCAGAGCTAGAGGGGTAAAGGAAGACCAATGTCCTTCGCATTCCAAAATACTCGGTATATCCAGAGCACTGTGAAAACAAAGAGGGCCCTAATGGAGGGCCAGTCTGAGATCTCAGGTTGTCTGAGACTGTGGAGAAGGGGCTTCCCAAATGGGGTGTCCTCATCAGGAGGGTGTCTGTGTCTGCACTGCTAGGAATCTGAGCTCCACGCGGGAAATGGAGAGACGTGGCAGGGGGCGCCTCAGGACAACTCCCCCTCCACCCTCCAGAAGCCCACCCCTAGAAGACCAAGCCGTGTCCCTACCACCTTGCAGAAGATGTCCCTGAAGCTGACTGAGCTCAGCTGACCTCGTCCACACCCTGTGACACTGGGCCCTCTAAGTCCTGCAACCAGTTACCTGGTCGTGGAAGAGAAGGCTTCCTGGGAGGCAGAGCGTGGCTGAAAATGAACAGGCGGCACCCATGCAGTTCCCATGCACAGACGCAGACGCACACACTCGCAGGTCAACGCTGTCCCCTCTCCGCTGAGTCATAGTTCTACAGTTAGCTGCTATGACTCTGTTCCTACTCTTGTTGGTAGCCCACGGTTCCTTCATCGTGTCAAGACTTTCCAGGGGCACCTGGGTGGCTCAGTCAGTTAAGCATCCGACCCTGAATTTCGGCTCAGGTCACGATCTCCACGTTCTTGCGATCAAGCCCTGAATCGGGCTCTGAGCTGACAGCGTGGAGCCTGCTTGGGATTCTCTGTCTCCCCCTCTCTCTCTGCCCCTCCCCTGCTCATGCTCTCTCTCAAAAATAAACAGGTGAACTTAAAAAGAAAACAAAGGATTCTCTCTCCCTCTGCCTCTCCCCACCTCAAAAAAAAAAAAAAAAAAAAGACACTTGAAAAGACTTTCCAAACAACAACCCAAAGGCCTTCCTCTGGGTCCAAGCCCAGTTTTACTGAGCAGACAAAAAGAAAAGACCAGTTGCGGTGCTCTGATCAGTCTGCACCAAAGAGGAAGCTGATGCCTTTGTTGTTTATGAATCACATTGTATTTTGCACGCGTGTAATTCCCGATTACGGTGCAGCGCAACGCTGACCTGAATTCAGGAAGCTCTGATTGAATTAAACAAAGGGAGTTTTTTGCTTTGTTTTGTTTTAAATATTTGGGGGCCTGACAAATTCATCCTCAAGAATTTGGAAATAAAGAGAGTTAAAGTAGAAAATCTCCGGGCCTGCTCGGCCACGGCAGCGTGAAGCCGGCCGGAGGGTCGCGCACGGGCAGTGTCCATCCCGAGAGCAAGCGGGGGAGAGGGGGACTTGGGGCGCCAGGCCTCCATTCCTCCAGGAACCCTGGAAGCGCCCTCCCTATGTGCAGCGAGTGGGCAGAATGTTTGGACTGAGCCCCCTGGTGGCCGGACATCACGCACCGCCACCGTGGTGGGGGAAGGAGGAGAGAAGTGAATCGAGAACGGGCTGAGCAGAGAAGTCACGGTTAACAGCGGAGGGCTGGCCCCAGGGCCACCGGGCTTGCAGCTGGGATTCAGGGGGACAGCAGACCCAAGCTGGAGGGGCAGCTTAGGTGAGGCCAGCAGCCGGGGTCCCCCGGTTTCCTCCGCGCCCTGTGCCTAGTAAAACGGCTCTTTCAGAGTCGGCCTTCTGGAATATTCGTGGAATGGGTGGGTAAACAACAAGGACAACAAAAAAGGAATGAAGAGTTGAGTGTGCCCCTTCTCCCTCACCAGGCAGTTTTCTGATCCTGACGGTGCTTTTATAGGATGAGACAGAATCCACATCACTCTCGAGAGTGTGTCTGGTATTGCTCATGAAATTATGGCTTGGATTCCAGCGAGTGCCTCATCCTAGTATGTGGGTTCGTTAACACGGGTCCTGCGCTCAGGGACTGCCCACCTCTGGGCATGGGAAAGAGCGTGTCCCTCTCCAGGCTGTAAAGCTGCATCAAAACTGTATCAACTGCAATGCCTCCCCCCCAGTCTCCAGCATTATCCCCTCCTTAGCACTTTCTCCCAGACCATCAGCAACGTCACTGCAGTTGATATTAACGTGTGGTTCCCTAGGTTCTTAGGTTGAGTAAAATCTGCTGGAGCTGGAAAGATTGTTCTACATCAACTTCCGTCCTCGCTGCTTAATTAAATCCCTCACCTGGGAAAAGAGTGATTTTCAACCACGTCGCTTTCCGTGGCATCAGCACGAATCTGTGACTCGTGAAATTCCAAAACGCCTCTGTGTCTGACGCTTCAGGTGCAACAAGGGCTGTAGGAATCCCCTCTGCAGACATTAAAGACAGATATTAACCGAGAATTGAAAATGACAGCAGAGGAGGTTGAATCGGAATGGCAAGACGAGCACACGGCCCTGCTTCCCCTCCTGCTCCAAACCCTTGAAATGGCAGAATATATATATATGTATATACACATATATATACGTATATATACATGTACATATATATACATATACATATGCATATATATGCATATATATACATATTTATATGATATATATTGCTTGAAATGTCAGAATATATATATGTATATACACACATATATACGTATATATATATACATGTACATATATACATATACATATGCATATAAATATGCATATATATGTATATATGTATACATATATATACATGTACATATATATATACATATGCATATATATGCATATATATGCATATATATATTGCTTGAAATGTCAGAATATATATGTGTATATACATGTATATATATACATGTACATATATATACATATACATGTGCATATATATATATTAAGAATACATCCATAATGGTACTAGAAAACAAGAAATAATACTATCAGAGACCCCCAGATTTGGAGACTTTCCTGGCAAAATGCAGCACATAGAAGTGAGAAGAGAGAAGATGCCTGGAGACCACAGTGCTCAGGAAAGAATGACTTTAGATGTAGGGACACTTCCAAGGAGACGCTGAACTCACAGCAGATTCACCGAAGAACACGAGGCTGTCTGTGTCCAGTGACTTGATCGCATTCATGACCCCAATTCCTGTACTCGTGCCCTTGGCCGTGACGCTTCACGGTTTCCGTCACCACAGAAGGTGCATCTGTCTGCCATCCCTTGAATCTGGACTGGCCTTACGACGTACTTTCCCCAATAAAGTGAGGCAGGAGTAACCGTATGTCAGTTCCAAGCCCGGCCCGAGAGGCCCTTAATGTGTTTCTGCATGTTTCCATCTGCCGCTCTTGATATTCTGGCACTGTCACGAAAGTCCAGATTGGCCTCGTGGGGTGTGACAAACCGGAAATAGGGCGACGTCTCCCCCGGTCAACCTAGCCAACAGCCTGCCGCCACCCGGGCACGCGAGGGAGCCACTGAGGTTTTGTGGCAGTATGTTACACAGCGTTGTCACGGCAGTATGTAACTGATACGGACCCCCAGCCGTGTGCACGACACCCCGTCACTGCTTATGACGACTAGCATTTGATGCCAAAATCGAGGAGTACCTGTACTCAAAAGAAAGAGAACCCAGGCCTAGGGAGGGCTCCTGTGTGAGCACAGAAGTCTCACAGAAAGGAGAAAAGGAGCTGTGTTTAGATGAACTCTAGGCTCCAGACTTTCTAGAGAGCAGGAGGAGGGAAGGAAAAGGCGGCTGTACTTAACGGGCAAATAAACTGACGTCTCCCTCAACAGGGTTAAGAGAGTCCTCCTATTTTAGCCATGGGGGTAGTGGTAGGAGGCCCCAGACCGCTTGCCTCCTCCATTTTCGAGCGTCCAAAAATGAGACACCCCAGTGGATGCACTCTGCTTGCTTAAACAGAGCCTGGAATTAGGTCTTGCACTTGGGAGAGAGACCCAGTGCAGACACAGAGGCAGTAGTAGTAGAGAAGCTCACCCAGCGGTCCACACCCGTCTGCCTCTGTCGTCAGCCATTAACGTAAAGGAACAGCCAAGGGACACGATGTTGGAGAAAATCTCGACACGAAGGAGAAGCCGTAAAATAAAGACGAGGCCAACCAATTCTAGAGGAAACAAAGAATTTAACAAAGGAAAGAAACATCGTTTTAAAAACATAGTAATAGCCTCAGAAAGATCATTATAATGTCACATCCATAACAGAAAGTGGCAAATATGAATAGGAAATTTTTCTAAAATAATAAAGAACCCTTATCTGTATGTAAAAATAGAGCTACTATATTTTTTTTTAATATGGCACAGAGAGGGCACCTGGGTGGCTCAGTCGGATAAGCACCCGACTTCAGCTCAGGTCATGATCGTGCAGTGCAGTTTGTGGGTTCGAGCCCCGCATCGGGCCTTGTGCTGACAGCCTGGAGCCTGGAGCCTGCTTCAGATTCTGTGTCTTCCTCTCTCTCTGCCCCTCCTCCACTCATGCTCTATCTCTCTCTGTCTCTCAAAAAATAAATAAAACATTAAAAAAATTTTAAATACAGCGCAGAAATAACACTTACTTTGAATATATAACAAAACTATTTTTATGGGTGGAAAGAACTGGTCAAATGTCATTATTATTTCACTTCTGTTTATTTTAGGATTATTTGTATAAACACAAAACTATTGCTTTTGACTCTAAAGTAATCATCTTTTTTTTTTCTTTTGGTCCCCCCTCTCCTTCCTCCCTCAACTCATTCTGTCTTCATTATAGGCCAGGAGACATGATTACTCTTCTAGAAGACACCAATGAAGATTGGTGGAAAGTAAGTATTTCTCTTTCTTTAAAAGAAAGAGAAATTGATTTATTTGGTAACTATCTGGTAACCATCATTACGACAGATGTTACAATTGCGGATGCATGCCTCCTTTTTCCTTTCAGGGAAAAATTCAAGACAGGATTGGCTTCTTTCCGGCCAACTTTGTTCAGAGAGTACAACAAAATGAGAAGATTTTTAGATGTGTTAGGACCTTCCTTGGGTGTAAGGAACAGGGGCAGATGACACTGAAAGAGAATCAGGTGAGTACAGCATGCACGCACACAGCGGGTAGGACTAAAACAGAGTCACGGTCACTAACAAACATATATCTAAATGAATGCAGTCATATTCAAAGTATTCACTTTGAGGAACGGTACAGACACGCCCGTGATAATTGTGTAGTGTGTAGGGTCTAAACCCGCAAAACCAGAATGTTCGCAAGTTTAGCTGGTGGGGTCTGTTCACAAAAGGAAATACACATAACATCGTAGCAGCAGACTAAGGACTCTGGTCCTGGTGCTTTCCTCTGAGGACCACTCGTCTCTGAGGTGGACCCCTGCTCCAGTCCAGTTTGGGTTTTTTGCTGGTCTCCACCAATGCATGGTTCGCAGTCTCTTGGGAATACATTGCTGTTCCCCGCTGACGCGTTCCACAGTTCATTGCATTTGCCTCCAGTCACAAAGACCCTTCTCAGTAATGTCTACTTGTCCAGACTCCAAGCTCCTGCCTTTTCACTGGAATGCAAGACACCTTCACATGGCTGCATAAAACAGTCAGGACGTAGGTAACCAGGGACTAGCTCACACCAGTGCCCGAATAGCTCCCTACATCTAATCTAGAGGTGTCTGGTGCCATCTTGTGCCATGTTGAACTTGGAGTTCACTGTGATACCGTTGATTTCCTGAGAAGTAAGGCCTTGTACCTATATGTCTTCAGGCTCCTTGCTTCTTCCTCTCCCATCTCACTTCTGGAATGTTGACAGACACAAAGGGAGAAGACACACACGGCTCAGCTCTTGGTCCTAACTCTGCCTTTCTTGGCCTTCTTCCAGCCGAGAGAGGGGGCTTCCTACCGCCCCTTCTTCTCTGACTCCAACTTCCTTCATGTCATATCCTGTATCCTTGCTACAGAGCAAAATAATATGCTAAGACCTCCAAGTTTGCTCTTGGTGTATTTGGAGATGATCCGAAAAAATCAGACCATAGAAATTTCTTCTATTTCCTAATAGAGTCTCACAATTGACTCTAATTTCCAATTTTGGAAATCAAAACCTTGCCTCTCTTTTGTCTCCATTGTTGGTATGGTAATTCTAATATCTCCTGAGGCAATTAAACCTCTGGTTGGAAAAGATGAGGCCCACTCTACAAAGAAGTACAAAAAGAAAAACACGTTAATGGCTTTAATACTATCCCTGTTCAATAATTGCCCAAAACACATCTTGAATGTCATTTTTGGAATTGCCTGAAAAGATAGTTTCTAACTCCCATAAAAAAAAAAATCAGTCATTACTTCGTAATTATATCTGATTTATAATTTTTAAAAATTGGTTTTCCTAATTTGATCAGCAATTTTATATGCCACACATAGATTGAAATACTTGATCATTTTCAAACTAACAAATACACCCTCAAGAAATAATGATTTACCTTTTCTTTATGGCTATTTAAAAGAAAAATATTTAGCTCCAGCCCCCAGTTGAGAGAGAAGGAAAGAATAAATTAACACAGTCCTAGACATTGTCACAATGATAGTTATTATAAGTATCATGATTATTATTATTATTTAATGATGTCATACATATGTATTTATAAAGTATATATACCTACAGCATTTTACTTGAGATCCCAAACAAAAGCTCATAGAAGATTTTGCCTTGCTCAAGGGAGCAAAAACCTGGTAAGTAGCCAGAATGGAACTTAAGCATAGATCTGCACGTTCTAAGCCCATACTTTCCGTGGAGTCATGTGCCCTGGACCATGTAGACCAACTTCTGAGCAGGACAGCACCATTTGCATAGTTTGGCTCCCAAGGAAAGCAAATGTCATAAAGGCAGGTGTCCTAGGACCAGAGAGCCCCTTGAAAACAAATTCTTGCTCATATGAGTGCCCTGCTGGGTCATTCCAGGCAATGGAATCATCCTTGTCAACCTGAGACCCCGTCTCTAATCCCACACCCCCCCCCCCCTCCACAAAGCAAACACCTACTTTCCCTCTGGGTTCCATGCCAATGCCTCAAATTTCTCCAAGCTCACCAAATTATATCCTCCCTGGTCCAAAAGCTTGGAAAGTCTTTTGAATGAAATAAATTTGAGAAGGCTTTTCATCTTTATTGGCAAAGTGTTATTAAATAATTTTGCTAGCACGCTTGATTTTTTTCCTCAGAATATTCTTGTGCTTCCCCACTTGAAAGTAAATGTTGTTTTTGTTTTATTAATGTACAAGTCCGTGAAATCAGAAGGCAAATGAAAACTTTCTCAAGTTGATCAATTCCCAGAAGCAGAACATCAGCTCAACGACTCCTACCAACTCCTTGGCCTTCGTCCCCCAAATTGTGTTTTCTGGGAATGGGCTCACACCTGCATTCTGGACTCTTTATGGTTGAACTGACCATCTTCCAGGATGGGTAGGGGTGAGACAAACAATCCAACCTCTTCAGTTAGACATGCTGAAGACACAACACAGCCTGAACCAGGAACAAACTGGATCTGCTCATAATCCTTTAAAAAAAAAATTTAAGTTTATTTATTTATTTATTGAGAGAGAGAGAGAGAGAGAGAGAGTGCATGTGTGTGTGTGTGTGTGTGTGTGTGTGCAGGGTAGGGGCAGAGAGAGAGAATGTCACGCAGGCTCTATGATGTCAGCGCAGTGCCCGACTTGGGGCTCAAGCTCACAAACCATGAGATCATGACCTGAGCTGAAACCCAGTCAGACGCTTAACCAACTGAGCCACCCAGGTGCCCCTGCCTATATCCCTCTTAAAAAGTTCCATAACTTTGCCCAGCCTGGCGTTTCTGGGAGTGTGGTCTTTGCACCACCTGAATCCTAATCACCTGGGAGGTGGTTGAAAATACAGACTCCTGGACTCCATTCCAGACCTGGTGAAGCAGAACTGCTCAGGGTAAAGGCAGGGAATCCCTTTACAAGGGCCCCAGGATCGAAGCTGAAGTGAGCGCACGACCTTCATTTCCATGACCTCACCTTGACGTCCTGCAGTGGTCCTGTGACAACCAAAGGACACCGTGGCTGTGACAATGCCAAGCGGAAGGCATGTGGGCGTAATGGATTCCAGTTCCAGACGGGTCAGCAAAAGGCACCGAGGGCTCGTTAGCCCCGCACGATTTTCCGTTTTCGATCTTTGTCGTCAGCATGGCAACCAATTTCGGAAAAATGTCAGCCACTTGAAAGAAAATTTACATTTTAAAAATCTGTTATTGAGAAGGATTTTTTTTGAAATTCTGGCTCCACTTTTGTGGCCTCCCATTATTTTAGGTGTCAAATTTCAAATAGAAGGAATTCGATTCTAAAAATAATGCAATGCATCTCTGATTACATCACATTTCTGCCTCTGGGGTTAATTTGTCTCATAATTCTATTATTTTTTCGCAGAGCTCTTGTTTCCAAATAGAATCAAGTTATCCTTATGCTGCAAACGCCAAAGTGTGTTTTCTGCATTTTTGAAATTTAAAAAATACCCTCATGAAATCAACTTTAAATACCATAACAGTATTGCATTAAATTCATCCGAAGTTCTGCCATCCCCGTAAAACTACTTTTATTGATTCTTTGTGTTTTCGTCAAAGCTTTCAAGACAAATAGGTAAATTATTTTTAGATTACAAAACTGAAATGCATTTATTGTGGAGAAAATTTGAAAACTACCCCCAAGAAAGTATAAATGCTTTGTTTGGTACCTTCCATGGCACATGTGAATCCTAACTGAATTGATCGTTGCCGACGATGGTTTTAGTGGTTGGCCAGTCCCCCAGTTCCTGTCAATGGGAGAAGTCAGAAGGTCAGCTAAGGGCATCCGCTGGGCTCAGTAGTACTTGTGTTCCTACACGTTCTTGGCCCCTCCAGCCTCTCTGACTTTTTCCCACAGATTCCCCACCTCCAAAGTGCCACACTCCCTTGATACTGAAATATGTTCATCTCCTACTTTTCCCCCCTCGTTTTCACCTTGCCATCTTTGCTTAAAGGCCTCTTCTTTAGGGAGGTCTTTCTTACCCCCTCGGCCAGATCAGATTGCCATAGATACTCACATCAGCACCCCTTTCCCCATGAGTGAGGAATTAATTCAGTCAGCAATGTGCTCATGACATGTGTAATTACTCAGTGAAATATCTGTCCCCTAGTTCTGCCCAATAAGCTCCAGGAGAGCAGGGATCTGCCCTTTTTTCATCAGTTTCCAAGTTTCTGGAGTGGTATCTATTACATAGTAGGCACTCAATAAAAACTTGAATGAACGAATGAATGGATGAATGAATGAATACAGGAAGTGGGGTATCTTTCACGTGGCCTGACCAAGAAAACATTTGCTGGGATAATCAACAGCCCCACTTGGTCTCTGGGACTGATGAATTTCCTGCGATGTAGGACTTCCAGTGAAAAGATTGAGAAAGTCCCTGGCAAACCAAGACAAGTTGGGTACCCTCTTCATGGCCCTCCGAACCAAAGGAGTTGCTGTGGTTCTCCCTCACCTCCTGCCCTTCTCTACCCATAATCTTCTGGGCTCATCTTTCCATTCTACCTCGAAATGCAATGCTTCCAGCCCGGTTACTGCTTCCTAAAATGGTAGGTAGGTTCTCAAGCGTGGTGAGTTATGTTATTTGTACCACCAGAATTTTAAATTCTAGACCCTTCATTTCTGGGAAGAGTACAAACCACTGAAGCCTATTTTCAACCATTTCTGTTCATCTTTTTTCAACTTCCTTTAGCTTCCTCCTCTGTTTACCCATTGTCTGCTCCCAAGACTGTCCAAGGAGGGCATGGTGGGTACCGAACTCCTCGTCCTTTGGAAGGTCTCCCCAGATCAAATCACTGTAGGGGTGCCAATTAGGAGGTGCAAAGTAAGTCCATACATGCAACAAAGCATGAGCATTGGTGCTTCTAGGCCTCCCTACTCTTTGAGACCCCCTCAGACCACTCTTCCATTGCCTCTACCAAACCATGTTTCACTTCCATGCTGAAATCTCGGGAGAGAGAAGGAAAATTAAAGGTAGTGTGTACAGACACACAGTGGGATTTTGCTGGAGACTGAAATTGACTGCTAACGTAAATAGCGGAAAACTCAGAAACAGACCCAGAAAGCTAACAGAGACCCAAACTGCGGTCATTTTTGGTATGTTCTCAGGCATGGGGTAATGGTGTAAGGCTCTTAGCTCTGGGCAGAATTTCAGTTTTCTGATTCCTTTTCCAGGGTTCTCCCTATTAGACATCACCATGATATAACATCTGTGTGTGTGTGTATGCCAGTAAATTGTTTTCAGGTTTGATTTCTTTATTTAACTATTTCAAACTATAAACTCAATTTTTAAAATAAGCATCTAGAACAAATCTGCACGAGGAAGCAGATGTTGATGCAGATTGCTTAGACTAATAGTAAAGGTTGTCGAATTTGGGACATATGTCAAGAAGGAAGAAAACTCGTCTTTGACGGGTTTTAATGGTAAATCCTGCCCCCGGGGCATTTTAATGGGTTCTTTTAAGACATATACTCCCTGCCCATCCCTAGGGTCTCCTGCCTGCAATGTTTCTGTCATGGGCAATGACAGGCCTTAGTTTTTGGAAATCAGGTGGTTCACCCTCCTTTCGGGGGTCACCTTACCCCATCAGGCTCTAGTAGGATCTAACATGGCCCCTGGGCTATTCCTTCCTTTTTTTTTTTTTTTTCCAACGTTTTTATTTATTTTTGGGACAGAGAGAGACAGAGCATGAACGGGGGAGGGGCAGAGAGAGAGGGAGACACAGAATCGGAAACAGGCTCCAGGCTCCGAGCCATCAGCCCAGAGCCTGACGCGGGGCTCGAACTCACGGACCACGAGATCGTGACCTGGCTGTAGTCGGACGCTTAACCAACTGCGCCACCCAGGCGCCCCTGGGCTATTCCTTTCTCACAGATCACCTCTGGCCTTCGTGAAACAGTCAACGCATCTTCTGTTAAATTAACTCCTGTCTCAGCCTCTTTCCAGTCAAGCTTATCACACAGCAAGTTTCTGAAACATGAACCAGATACCAGCCTGTTGTGGTCCCAAGCCCCAGGAGTCACAAATGAAGCTCTTTAAGTGGCCTGTTAATGCCTGTCCTTCCATGTGAAGGGGTCTGTATTGGGGCCCTGCCCACATCCTCTTCTCTAGGTGGGTGCCCCTATCCCCCGGTCACTGTGTCGGCTAATATCTCACAGCTGCCCTTTGTCCAGCTAATCCCCCTTCGTGGAACAAGAGCTGCCTGGCCTGATAGGTTGCATCTCTCACAGCCCACGTCAGCCAGTGGCCAACGACTGACACACAGGGCCCAGAAGACCGGACCCCCTGCCTCAAGGTGGGACCGCTCTGTGGTGGGCTTCATGCTCCAGAGCTCCCTGCGGGATCAGGCTCAGGCTCGCCTCCAGCTGAGACCTCACCTTTGCTCAGCTCCTTCCACTGACCGCCATGCTTCCCTCGCCTCCCACCTCCCGAGAGCACGCGCTCAACAAGTCCCTTCGCGAGGACTCCCGTCTCAGGCTCTGTTTCTGGGGAATCCAACCTAAGACATAACCCACCACCCACGGAAGCAGGTCGACTGGGTGAACCCACAGCACACCAAAGGCTCTTTTTCAAAGCCTCTTCTGTACCTCTGACCACACCCACCCTTCATGCCGTTCGGTGGCCTGGCAGTGGTAAGTGACAAGCATGCCCAAATGGATTTTAAGCACCTTCTTGTTAAGGCCGGCACAGGTGGACTAGGGGAGTCGTTAGCATCTCTTTGCTTTGCTTGGGGCCAAGAAGGGAATAGCTTCTTTGGATTTTCTGATACGACGTATATAAATTTCCAAGCACATGACAAGAGCCTGTGGAATGGTAGCTATTTGTTTGGATCTTTAAAACGTTTTGAGGACTCATTGCATGGCACGCGCTAGGCTCTATAGGAAGCATCATTTCATTCTGTCCTCGTAGTGACTCTTCAGAGGGACACAGTATGATTAATTCCATTTTATTGATCTTCGTTCATAAAGCTGAATCTCAGAAAACATACGACGCCTGCGCATAGTTCCAAAGCCAGGATCTGCCTAATATTTATTCAACCTTTTTCTTACAGAGCCAGCCCCACTCCCTGAAACTCCTCTCCCTTTTCCAGTTTGGTGCTCCTGGCCTCAGTCTGCAGCGATTCAAGCCATAGTAGCTTCTAGCTTCTTCCTTGTTGACCCTTTGGTGTTTTCTTCCTTGGCATTCAGATCTGCGTGACCTCTGAAGAAGAGCAGGACGGCTTTATCAGAGTCCTCAGTGGAAAGAAGAGGGGCCTCGTCCCCCTGGATGTCCTAGAAAACATCTGATTGCTGGCCCCCCTGCTTTTGCAGTGGATGGGCTCCGCCGCGATGCCTCATCTCACACTGTGTCCACGCAGAGGAGCTGTCGCGCTGACCCTCCACCCGGGAAACAGTGAGACAAGACTCACGGATCTGAGACTGGAGTCCCGGCCACAGGACAGAGGGCCCATCTCACAGCATTGCCGGGCTGCCCAAGGTGGGGGCGAGGCTGAGCTGAGCACTTTGCAGGTGGCGGTGGCGGTGGCGGTGGCGGTGGGGCAGTAGCCACAACTGTCCCTGAGGATTCACCTCAGTCCCCATCCATGTGATGTAAGTTAGCCCGCTGGAGTGTGCTCCAGCTTGTGGTATGGGCCCTGTGCAAGGCTCAGATCCCTATAGCCAAGTGTGATTCTGATTCCAGACCTGTGTCCCCAGTCCCGGCCCATCCACGTCACCACGTTTGCAGTCTCTGCATCAGGAAGTCCTGCTTCCCAGCCCCCAGCATCCTAGGGCTCCTCTCAGCCCCTCTCACTTTGCATTTGTACTGTCTCTTCTGTCCTCTGAGTCAGTCGTGGGGTGCCCTTGAGGTGTGAGGGCTGAGCTGGTGGCACCAACCACCGAGAGAGACCTGATCTGCCCAAAGGTGGCCGACAGGCAGTCCCTGCTGCTGCTTTAGTTACCAACAGAGGTGACAGAGCAGGACACGAGGCCCGACAAATACAGAGGGCGAAGCGTAGGGTAAGGTGGGGCAAAGAGCCCTACTTATTGAAGAATATACAGCCCTTCGGGTTATGAAAGCATTTCCCTGAGGCGATGGGCCTGAGGAAGAGAATGGGGCAAAAAATCTCAGCGATCAGCCCTGTTTCATTCCACGTCCCCTGTACTAGGGGCAGCGTTTTCCCTCAGGCCATCCTATAGGACCCCCTTTTGGAGGCTGAGCCCAGCTTGTAGAGAACCAGGAACCTGGAGGAGAACCAGCCGCATCTTAGGAGAAAAGTAGCCAACTCTGAATCCGTTCCTCTTTAGGGCAGTGTATTATACCCTAGCCGATGTAAAGTGGAAAAGAATCTTTTAGTGCTTCATCCCTCAGAAAGTAGAGGAACTTGGGGCCTCTTTACCATCAAGTGGGGAGTCCCTCTTACTCTGTATTTGTACTAATGTTTACAAGCATTCAATATACTGTGATGCCTTCCTCCGCAAGCCTCATCCTGGCATTCGAACTTGCATCCGATTACTTAGTCATTAATACGGTTAAACTTCGATTCACAGTGACCTTGGAACCCATGTCCGCTCGATTCATTTTGTTACAGAGCAATAAAAGCATTAGTACAACTGGTTTTTAAAAGACTTAAGTGGGTGCATCTTGTGCATGTAAGCATCGTCCCCCAAACCCTGGTATCATTAGTCTCCATTGCAAAACTGAGTGTGCCGAGACAAGATGGGTTCTCTGAGAGCCAGGGTGGATAATAGGACTGCCATTCCCTAAAA